TTAGGAATCCTTCAGCGGCACTCTACCGGTTTGGGATCTACTCTTCTTATTACCACTTCTGGCAACGTGATCGTGTCAGAGATAATCCTAGCCAATTTCAAATGACGATCGTATCACAATCCTTTTATAGACCAGTTTTTCTATAATTAGAAGCATCGGTTATTATACAGTTACGCCGATGGTCTGCAGATTCCCACATGGTTTTTCAGGGAATCAGATTAGCCCCCTAGTGGATTTGAACCTGTAACTTGTGATACGGACCTATGGCGCTTTAACCACTGAGCTATGGACCCATAGGTCTTTAAAGATAACAAATTATTTAAACTTATTTATATTCATTGGTATCAAGAAAAGAATAAATTATAGAGATATCAAAAATTAGAATTACTTAAACAGTATAATTATATATCAATAGATAGTATAGATAAAATTATATATATAGTTTCAAAATTTGATAAAACAAATGAATATTTATAAATAATTCTATATTTTAATTTTAATTTATAAAATCAAATAACATTGATTAATTTTGAAATTAAATAGATTGTGTTCTAATGATAGATAATATTTATTGTTATATATTGAAATCTATTAATTTAATAAAATATGATTTATATTAATATTAATATAAATCAATAAAAAACAACATAATTAATATATATTGATTAATTATAATCAATTACTAGTGATAAGTTGACTATTGATAAATAATTCTTTAAAAAATTTTCTGATATTACTTTGCTATCATATGAGTTTTGTTGACTATTTAGCTATAAGAAAAAGAAATTTATTTTATTATGCGGATTTTGTTATGCATATTGTTAATAATAATAAAGATATAAAGTTGGCTTTTGCTTTGTAAATAAATATATAAAAAAATAATGCTTATTATTTTATTTACACTTTTATTTACCAAGTTTTTGAAAATTAAGTTAAAACAACTTTTTAATTCCTAAAATATAACTAAGCAATATTAATAAAATATATATTAAGATTGTTTAATAAAATTTATAAAAAAATTAGACATATAAATGGTTAAAAATTATTAATATAAAATATAAAAAGTATGCTTATTTGATAAAATATTTTTATACAAATATAAGAAATACATTTTTGATTAAATTTGTAATAAATAAGATAGATATAATAGTGATTGAACAATTAAAATTACTAATGATTGTACAAAAAGTTATTGGATAGAAAAAAATTGATATTAAATAGAAAATTGAACAAAATATTGATTTGGGAACTATTAAATAAAGAGCTGAATATAAAATTGCTGAATGAAGAATTGTCTAAAAGACTATTGAATAGAATATTAAATAAAAGGCTTTTAAAATAAAGAATTATTGAATAGAATGTTAAACAAAATATTAAATAAAATATTAAACAAAAGATTAATAAGGTAGCTATTAAATGAAAAGTTGATTAAATAACTATTGGATAAAAGATTAACCAGATAACTGTTGAATATAAGATTAGCTGAATAATTGTTAAACAAAAAGTTGAATGAATAGTTGCCAAACAAAAGGTTGATTAGATGACTGTTGAATGAAAGATTAATTGAATAACTATTAAATAGAAAATTAATTAGATAGTAACTAATTAGAGAATTGTTAATTAAATTGTTAGAAGAGTTATTAAGCAAAAGATTACAAAAATGATTATCTTTTTGAATTGATTTTTGAAAATTTTTTTGTGAAAAACTATTTGTTTTTATATTTAATTTTTATATAGTTATAACTTTATAATAAATAAATAGTTACTATATAATTACTATATTTTTATTATTTGATTAATGAATTGTTACTATTTTGCAATAATTTTGTTATAATTTAATTAAAGTTAAAATTATATTATTACAGTAAGATTTTATTAATAATTATAATAATGATATTATTACTATTTTGTAATCAAAAGTTGTTACAATATAATTATTATTTGTTTACTATTTTTTTTAAAAAAGTCAATAATGATATTATTATTGAAATAATAATTTAATTACTATTAAATGGTTGAGATTTTGTCATGATATAATAAAAATCATTAAATTATGATTGAATCTTTATGATTCAGTTTCAAAATCATGACAATCACATGATCAGATTGTTAGAATTTAATAGGTTTCAATAAAGTAGCTTTAATTAAAGTTACCAGTTTGATATTTATATTAATTTTTTTAGTCTTTTTTGAGATACTATATAACTTGTTTTCTTTTTAAAAATATATTTAATATATAGAATTTTTTGTTCTTATTTCAATTATATTATTAATTAAATTTTATAGAATTATAAAAAGATTGTATTTAATTTAATTTTGTAAATAAAGTTTAATTGATTACTTTAAGCAATCTATCTGGATTTAATCTTTTAGATTAAGTTATCTTATATTTATTTTTATAAATAATCAAAAGCTTTACTTAATAATTCATTTATATTGTACAATTTTTATCAAATGTACAATCAAATTCAAGTTTATATAATCTTCAAATTTCTTTAATTTATTTTACAATATTTTTCATCAATACATGAAAATTTTTAATTTTATATACTGTATTTTATAATATAAATTAATTTTTCGATATACTGTATGTATTATATTAACCAATTGTAAAAGAATCAAACATTGTTGAAGTATATAAACTACTATATAATTCTCTGACTTTAAAAAACCTTTTGCTATAAAAACATATAGAATCATACATTAAGTAGCTCTAGATTCTTTTTTCCATTTATTAGAAAAAAAGTTATAACATTCAGAAATAATTATATCATTTATTAATAATGCAAGAACTTTATAGATCTTGAAAAATAATTATTTATTATCTTACTAACTCTGCTATAACCTATTTTATGTTATGTTGCTAATGTACTTGATTAAGAGTATTAAAATTTAGACTTATTTATCAATACCTTCTTTATAAATTTAGGATATAAAAATAAATCTTATATAAACACTCTACTTCTTTTTACAGAAAAATTTCAAATGTTGAAGAAAAATTGGAACAATGAGGAGACAGAATTGACTTTGAATTTTTTGGATGTTACTAATTACTGGAAAAAAGAATATGGATAAAGATGATTTCTTAAAATATAAGCAGAAGTATGATGCCCACCTTGGCGTTCCTAGCATCCCATGCAAAAACGAGATAAATATGCAAACATGTAACAATGGTTCTTATTCGAATAGAAAGATAAATAAGGAATTTTTTTTTGGCTGAAGGTTATGGATCAACTACTGTAGCAGGTAATACTGTAGTAAGGATTGCCATACAGTATCGGTCAGAGGCTTCAGACTTAGTTGAGCGCTTTGGCATTTACAGTCTCGTACTTGCTCCGCGGTAAAATATATAAAATATAATTTTTAGAACAATACGAAATTTTTTTAGAGGCAAAGCCTCCTCGCTCCGCAAGTCACATATAAAACCCATTCACATATTTTTTTATCAATATGCAAAACTGACTCAATCTAAATTGACATTGACAGAACTTCAGAATCAAAGACGAATCAAGTAAACTAATAAATAATGATGTTGAATTATCTTTTATTACGATAATGTTAATTCTTAAACAGAAAATGATTAGTTGATTCTATCTTCGATAAAATGGGACACATTTTGTTTATCTAGCTTTGCACGGTCGATTCGTCTAGTTTATATTATGTACTAATCGGTGCTATCATTATTCTCGTTATTTAATGGAGCAAAAAGACAACGCAATAAGCAACAATAAAAAAGTCATCAAATTCATAATATACACATATTGAAATACTACATTATTTATCTTTGCTTATACAAACGGGATTTTTTCGTTTATCATATAACGCTGTCGAACCAAGATGGATGCGAACTTCCATGGGTAAAAGGTATAATAACTATTTTCTGTTTCTCTTAGTCGACAAATCATTTGCCAACTTCTCAATTTTCCTAATCTCTGCTTCAGCTTTCTTTCGCATATTAGCATTTTGCATAGCTCTCGCATCCTGTCGCATATTTTCGATATTCGCATGAAGCTCATCGACAAAGTTGAACCGAGAACAAACTTTACTTAGATCGTAGCAAAGTTGGTGGATTTGTTTGTACTTATCATCTGCGGTAGCTTGGAGTTTTGCGAGGGTTTCATGATAATCCTTTGCATCTTGGTCGATCCTTTGATGTTCTTGTTCAGCCATGTCGTACTGCGCCTTCATGTCTTGAAGAACTTTATTGATAGTTTTTGTTTCAGTAATCAATTGTACTTTTTCGTGCACATGGCTATATAAATAAATTAAGAGAATTTTTAATACAATTTTATAAGAACGTGAAAGTCATAGAATTTGAAATTAACCTCTGAGGTCCGCATCCACACTCTGTGCACATCACATCATCTCCCATACACGCGCAATGTCTAAAGTGAGAAGTGTCAGAGGTGTCTTTAAACTCAAGTCCACAATGGTCATGACAAATAATATCTTCTCTCAAGTGAGTAACGCAAACTGTGCTATGGTAACTGGCAGGAACGATTTTTTTGAGCGTAATATTCTCTGTTTTTGTATAGTTAGCGAAGGAGTTTTTTTGATCTCCAGTTACTTGCAATGCTTGCTGAGCGGCATCGAGAGCGTCCTGGACTTGCTGGATATTTGCGATATCTTGGGTTATTTTTGTTATTTCCGTTTTGATTTTGTCTCGAAGAGCCTTCATACGTTTAAAGGCGTCAGTCGAAGTGTTTGATAATTCAGTGATCGTGCGTAAGAGATCATCAATTGTTCGAAAAGACTGACTCCAGTGAATTTGAACCAATTTGCGTTCTTCAAAGTCGTTTTTCCATATTTGAGGATCGGTACCAAAAGCTTGATTGTCCATATAGAAAACTTTCTAGAAAAACAGAAGAGCATAGTAAATATTACCGTTTCAAATAGAAATAATGTTTACTTGATATATGTCAACCTTCGGCGTGGTAATTTCTTCCGAAAAAGAAGGTATCGAGAAACAAGCACTGCTTTTTGAACATTTTGTTAAGATAAGTAGCAAATTTTTATCGACTAAAACATCTGGTAGGTTATTCGCCAAGCGAACTAAAGTGTTCTTGACCGAGTTGGTCACTCTTGCTTCAGTTCCATTTACGATGATCACTAGAGCAGATAATGAACCAGCGCGGATTGCTGTATCAACAATTTCGCTGATATTTTTATCATCTTGTTTTGTACCATTAGTATCACTCAGTCCAGGTGTATCGATAAAAATGAACCTATAGGCAGGGTTTTGGGGATGTCGAAAAGCGTATTTGTGGCATTTTGTGGTTTGACTCCTAGTCACATCACCAACTTTTGCTTCGGAATGTTTATTGATGAATCCTGAAATTGGATACACAAACTTAATACATACTGTAGTTGATGTTAAATTTAAAGTGGCATTATGCAATCATAAAGTAGTACCTTCTTCGGTGACTTTATGATACTTTGTGGGAATGACAATATTCGGATTATCGGGAGTACCTCTTAAAAAGTAATTCGTGATTGTGTTGATTATCGTCGATTTTCCAGTCCCAGTCCCGCCTAATAAAAGTATTTTAAAATCACGGGGTGTCTGATCTGGGAGGTTGATCCAGTTTTGCATCATTGGAGGATTGCGCGTTGACGAACGGGGGTGACCAGGCGACCGAGAGTGGAAATTGTTCGATTTCTCCGATGGGTAATTATTCGATCTTTCATCGTAGGGGGGTGGCGGCAAACTTTTATTCAGATATGAGTTCATAACCTGACTTTTATCTGAGTACGAGTTCATATCCTGAATTTTATTTCGAAATGGATTTGTATCTGTCACATTCAGCTGCGATTGAGACTGAGTTTTTTTCGATCTCATATTACTTAGTGACCGTGTTATTACTGAGGCTATCTCGTTTAAAGACCGTGTTATTGCCAAGGCTATCTGTTCATCTTCACTAAGCCCTAGAATAATTTTCGAAGGTGATGGTTATAAGTCTTTTTGTAGTGAGTGCAATGTTCAAAGATATAAATGAGGGAGAAATTACCATGACCGTTAGATGACAAGACATTACTGTTATCTCGAAATGGATCTGGGTTATTAAAAGCATTCGGATACTGACTTTGGTGATAGATTTGAGAACTAGTAGAAGCGTTCTGATCCTGGCTTCGATGATAAATTTGTGGGTTTGTGAAATCGTTCTGATTCTGATTTTGTGGGGAATCAAATTCGTCAACGTTGTATCTGCGAGCGAGGGTTTCTAAATCGTCTTCACTTTCGGAATCTTCGAATTCGTGAGGTTGGCTTCTAAAATCCGCGGAAGGTTTAATTTCTATTTCATATATCTCTTCATCATCAGATGTCCCTTGGTTATCATTAAAGTTGTCCAGAGAAGAGGTGTATTGATCGTACCCCTCGTCTTGATGATCCTTCGTACCTTCATGGTCTCTTGTGAATACGCCGTTTTTTTTTGAACGAGGAATAGAGTTCAGTAAAGTTTTAAACTTTTTACCAAAAGTCATCATTTGAAAAACCTTTTTAGATTGCTGATAATAGTGGGCTGGTATAACTCGTATATATAAGAAAGAAATTATGTCGTATTGGTATTCGTTCGTCGTTGATTGATAATCTGCTCTGAAAATTTTCTAAAAACGATCTCTCATTTAAGAATATGAACTCACGAAATTGTTAATATATATATTTATTTGTGACCGGAAGTTTCTAATTCTTTGTACCGTATCGACTGAAATGGTTCATTGATTCACATTTTTATGCGCAGCATTTCAATTATCGTTTGCCTGCCTCTAATTCTTACGTATTAGGAAAGATGAAGCACAAAAACGCAGCAGGATGATACAAGCTAAACAATACTACAACAAAAATCAAACATCAACGTTCAAACTTACAAATAACAAGGTTTAAACCGTACATGATAAGAAAGTCAATTTCAATTCATAACTTTAGTGAATACAATATCTCGATGCATATTCGGTTGGCACTTTTTAAGAGTGAGATAGAATTTTCACAAGTCTTTGGCGTTAGTCCGCAAAGCAACAAGTAATGGCTAATACTGAAATAGATTTGTACACCAACAATCACTTCGTCGATAGGTCATTTCATTCCATTTACGATAGTTGATTAACTACGAGGTTTAATAAGATGAGGCTCCAACGTTTCCGCCATGTACATAAATCAGGGATTTTTCAACTCAATATCAACCAGGTGGAACAAAAGTGTATATTTTATACTCTGCACAAAAAAAGGTGAGACACCTAAACATATTTATTATAGAAATACCTACTATATATACTGTATATACATTATACTTTGGTGAAATATCAACTATTAGGAAAATATATACAGTACTGTATATATTACGTTATTGCAATTTATTTATTATTTTTCCCAGCTATGCAAATATCAATATAAGTGTAAAATTGTTTTCAGCTTTCTTGTATTCACATTCGTATCATCGAAAAATTTCGCAGGTGATTTCATTTATACTGTACTGCAATTGCAAATTCCATGGTTAAAATGATTTATTTTTCATCTGCATATATCAAGTGACAATGCAGCATAATTTAATCGTTACTTGTTTTCAATATCCATTCATTCTAAAGATCAAATAGTATGATAACACAAACCCAAATTATTTCACTATTTTCAGCTGACTCCTCAATTAAATAATACCACAACTGGAAAGTCATTATCATCTTTGGCTCAATGATTTAACCAATCATATTGTTAATCTGAATTCTTGTTATCACTCGAACAATGACGCAAATGTAAACTTATTACTGTATTATTAATTAAATAATGAATTTTTTTCTCAGCTATCTTCACTATTACAATAAATAATGATACAATTGCAAATTTATTAATCTAAACTAAATAAAATTAATATATTGATATTAAAATAACTGATTGTAATTAAAGATATTTGAATTTATAAGAAATCCTTTTATTGTAAAAATTGTTAATTATAAGTTTTTGGATTAGTCGTAACTAAAGTATTATATATCATATGTACTATATATTGTTATGGAGTATTCTAGCAAGTTTGTTACCAATATGTAAAAACTTATGTAATGTTTATAATATTAGAAGTTTTGCAGATATAATTAAGGATTTAACTCTTGAATATATCAATTTGGACCTGCTTTGTTATTGTATACCATTATAGTTTCATCTTGACTTGAAATTTTATGTGGTTGTTTAAGTTTTTTCAATTTTTTTTGTTAAATACAGGTTTGTACTTGCCACATGAACAAGTTATTGACATTGTAATAAGCAAATAGTAAGTTTATACTAATGTCAACAAAAATTTATATATTTAGAACTCCTAACAATATCACTTTGATACTATTTTGATATCAATTCAATACTTAAATTTACTATAAAATCATATGAGTAGGTTACAACCCATATATTAAATTTACTATAGATTGATACTATTTCAATACCAGTTTAATACCAGTTCGATACTTTTTGAAATCCTATATATAATTATTACTGATAATTAAAAACAAAAGATAGGTTTTTTTTATTTAATATACTCCTTTATTGGTTTTAATATTTTAAACTTTTTTATATATTTCTTAATTATAATTAAATATATTAAGTATAGAATAATAGAATTAAGTATTATTGTATAATGATTATATAATAATTTCTATAATGTTATTATTATTGCTTGCAATCATTAAATTAATTAGTCATGTTAGAATTAGATTTTATATTATTTAATATAAATTAACTATATAACATATTACAATATTATTGTTATTACATGATATATACAATCTTTTATTTTCACATTTAGCATTCTTAATATCATTTTAATAAAAATTAATATTGAATTTACTATAGGTTTAATAAAATATGTTATAAATTATATGTTAATTTTATTATAAGTTGATATTATTTTAATATTGGTTTGAAACTTTATTAACATTATACTTTTATTATATTATATATTAAAAATAGTTTATAAAATAGTTTATATACAGTATATTTTAAGTTAAAAGAATATAATTTCTATAATTGAATTTTAAATATATTGTTTAAATTTGTAAAACTATAATAATAGTTTTTTTTTATTAAAATTTAATTAATTAAATGCCATTGTTTATCACAAACAGATTTGAACTGATTTAATTGTTATAAAATCATATCATTGAATTTTAATTAATTATTAAAGTTGTATTAATTATTTAAAGAAATAAAACTAATTTTGATATTTTATATTAATAAAAATTTTGTAAATTTTAAAATAATACAATATTGTATATTAATAAAAAAGTATAAAAAAAGATTTAGTTGAAACAATTAGAAAATCTAGTAACTTTACTAAAGTATTACTTTAAAAATAATTTATAATACTAAAATTATTATAAATTTTGAAAAAATAAGATTTTGAATTAATATTAAAAAAGTATTAATTTATAATAAATTTAATATATGAATTGGAACTTATTATATTAAACTTATAATAAATAAATAAAAGATATATTAACAAAATTATAAAAGAAAACTGCTATAGGTTTTTTTTATGTAATTAAAAAATAAGTAAAACTTTTAAACTTAAGCAAAAGTCTATTTTATTATATTTTTTCTTAATGTTTATTATATATATATATCATATATTATTATTATTTTATTTTATATATAATAAAATATAAAACCTATAAGTCTATAATACAGGGGTTAATAATTCATAAGTCAAATTACAAAATACTACAATAGTTCAATCTCATATTGAAGATAGTTAAACAAAATCAATATAATATTTGATACTATAATCTATTAAAGTACTGTTTTTTATAAGAAACCATTTCATATACTAATCTAGCAAATGTTAAGATTGTAATTTCCAGAAAAAATATTATTGTATAATAATTGTCTAATAGGTACTATAATAATTGTTAGAAGTTGTAAAGTGTATAAAATATTTACTTTCAATAAAATAGTTTAATAATTGTTTTTCTGTGATATCTAATATCTATTCTTATAAGTTTTTAAAAAAATCTTATTCTAATATAGCAACAAATTACTTTGACAATTATTTATTTCAAAAAGATAACAAAAACAGCAATAAGTATTAATAGCTAATATAATTTGAATAATTATTTTCAAAGGTGAACCAGAAATTTTTTAATATAATTTTAAAATTTATATTATATACAATATATATTATTTAAAATTTGAATCTAAAAAAATTATATATAACTTTCAAAAATAATTATCCATTTATAAGCAGTAAATTTGTAAGATAAATTTTTTAAATATTTTTGGATAGCTTTAAAAGAGATAAAAATTAAATGATATGTTTATTTGCAAGTGATAAGATTTAAAAAAATTTCTCTATAAGTTTTCTTTTAGATATTTTTTTGTTTATATAAATTTTGTAGTTTAATCAATATAGTTTTAGTATAAATAGTTTATATAATTATAGTTTTAATTATATATATATACTGTATATATTTGAGTTTATTTTTTATTTTATTCTTATATATTAGCAAATTTTTTAGAATAAGTAAACACAACTGCTACTCTCAACTATATTTGACATATAATATTGTTTTAAATTTTCTTTTACAATATTAGCTAGATATAAATAGTATAAGCAAGCTAACATTAAACTTGCTGCTATTATATATAAGAGATATTGTTTTTTTCATGATATATATATATTAAATATACAAATAAATAAAAAAAAAATGTTTATTTACTAGAAAAAAAATTGTTATTAAAACTTTTATTAAAATATATACTTGAATATAAGTTAATATTAATTTTATATAATAATATAAAAGAAATTATTATTATTATTTTTTTTTAGAATAGAACATACATATGGTATATAATCTTTATTGATATGTTTATATATTCAGACAAATACCAAGTGTCTCTACAAATTAATTAGAAATTAATTAATACAGGATACCCTTTTATGTCTCTATAGTTAATCTGCAAATTAACATTGTCCAATGTATATATTACTATAAGACTAGCTATGTTAATCATAATTACCCAATTATGTATTTATTTAAACACCTCAGGAATGTACCTATACCTCAGGTGGGACTTTTGCAGGAGAAGAATCCTATCACTAGTTTAAACTCACCTAAACCTGCTAGTCCATTATTATACTAGTCCAAATTGGGTTATTCGGCTGCCGAATTACAGCTGATTAAATCCAAATTTATTAATAAAAGTTTATACCGAAGTTTTGTTGTTTGGTCCAATTTATGCCA